CCTATAATTTTAGGATATGGATTTCACCATGGGATTTGAAATCCATAGGTTTTTAACGTTGAGTTGGGATTTCTAAAATGTTGTTTGTTTCATCAATATTTTCGGATATGTAATCCTATAATTTGTATTTGTTTGTTTCAAACTCAAATTGTAGCATTACAAATATTAGAATTTGAAATCTAGCCTAAATCCTTTCTCAAAGAGGGGATTTCACAAATGCTATAGTATATTAGTTTTTTATTATTTGGGTATTCAATATCCCAAAATTTATTTTGAATCAAACAAAAGGTTATGGAATCCATAAACTCAAAAAAAAAAACCCCTTTTCATCCTAGATTTGTAATCCACCATATATCCAGAAAAAAAAGGCCAAACACCCCCCCACCCCCCCACCCACGCACCCACACCCCGATTACGCCTTATACTGGAGGCATGATGAATGAAAATGGATTTTTCAACGAAGGCTTGGTGGATGGTTCAAAATAACTTTCAGGTGAAAAAAGAGAGGATAATAATAACTATGTTTCTCTCACAAGTTATTACTATCGGAAACAAGAAACGAACAGATAGGGTTTTATGGAATTATTATATTATTAAAAAAAAATAGCCATTAGCAGATAGGCTCGGCTTGAGATGTGGGTGGAACCTTAAGACCTCATCTTTGGGTTAAAAGCCATAATAAGTAAGTGAGCTGGGCTTTGGTCGTTTGTGCCACTGGTCCCCAAAAATGTTATATCATCCACTTGAACTAGTGTGCACCCAGGGCAAAGCATAGTCCCTTGTTTTCTTAAGCACTACATTTAAAACTTGTTTCTCTCTAAGTTTTAATGCATTTGATATGATTATTGTATGCTTAAAATTAAAAATTATATTTACTCCTCTTTACTTAAAGAAGAATACACGTTTTAATATATTTGAAGTAGAATTCATTTTAATCCTTTATATTTAAGGATCCAAGTTTTAATACATTTGATTTAGAAATTAATATCTATATTTAAAAAAGGATCCAAATTTCCTGTAGCACAAACAGTATTTCAAGTGGAGAGGGCAAGTTTGGCTTACTGGTTATGCTACATTACCGTAGCTTACTGGTTATGCTACATTACCGTAGCATGAACAGTGATTCTTGAATTTTCCTTTTAAGAATAGACGTGCACCCCGTGCAAAGCATGGACCCCTGTTTTTCTAAGCACTGCATTTTAAACTTGTTTCCATCTAAGTTTTAATGCATTTGATTTGATTATTGTATGCTTAAAATTAGAAATTATATCTACTCTTCTATATTTAAAGAAGGATGCAAGTTTTAATACATTTGATGTAGAATTCATATTTACTCCTTTATACTTAAAAAAAGATCTAAGTTTTAATACATTTGATTTAAAAATTATGTCTATATTTAAAGAAGGATCCAAATGTTAATACTGTGGTGAAAATATTTTATGTCATGCTACGTTTTTTATTGTGGCATAAACAATGCTTCATCGTAGAGGGCAAATTTTGTTTACTGTTCATGCTACAGTGATTTACTGTATCATAAACAGTAATTCTTTTGATCTTCAAGTATAGAAAAGTAGATTTGATCTACTCTCTTATGAATACTCTATAAGGGATTTTTTTAGTTTTAAAAGGATTTTTTTTAAAAAAAATTTAGTGATTGCGGATTTTCAAACGGGTCAACATGTCAGAGCTAGGGGTGGAAATGAACCAAATAGTTAATAAACATTTCAGGTATATTTGATTTGTTTGATTATCAAATATGCTTTCTCGTTTTTCTATTTTTATAGTAGTATATTGTATCATTTTTTATGTGTATAAATATTGATGTTTATATGTATTATATTAATAATTTATAAACACATATTTCAAATTTAGGGTTTGAACTCATGACTTCATGCTCAAAAAACTTATGACTTAGCAAATGTGCTAATGCGATATTCATGAAGTTTTAATGAATACTCGACTAACAAACGAATTAAATTTGAATTCGTCAAAATAATTGAATTCGAATTTGACTGCCATGATATTCGATTCGATTCGTTCCACCCCTAGTCAGAGCTATACATTTTTGTTTTTTCTTGACAAAAGCAACAACTTGTCGTCATATTTATCATGTCTCTTTCTTATCAAATAAATAGACTTAGATTGTGAAGCATTGCTTGACAAAGCAAATGATGGAGTGCTAAACAATTTTGAAGCGGTTTAATGCGAAATTTATGCACGAGAAAATACTTTAATGTAACTGCTGTTCACAATACACACGATGCACCAAACTAGCAGGCTCTGGATCAGTGTGCTTGCCCATAAGGGAACTTGCTTTAATGTCCCAATCAAAAAATTATTATTATTTTATTGAAACATTAATGCTATGACATTAGATTGATTTGAGGTTGCAATATGAGTTTTATTGTAAGGACTCAAAATATGGGACGAACAGAGGGGCATGTGATGTGTCCTTCTCCTATTGTATAATGAGGAGGGATACTTTACCTATTCCCTTGTTGGTCTCATATTTTGGGTCTTTGAGAAATTTTCTTATAAATATACAAGAGTAATTAATAGAAGGGAAAAATGCTTCCAGCCCCCAAATTCGTAACAAATATGCTTCCCCCTCCCAAGACTTTTTCAACGCTCTAAAAACCCCCAAATTCGTAATAATTGTGCTCTGAGCCCCCAAAACACAAAGCCCAATAATTTTACACAGGTAAAGACTATAATACCCATTCTCTCTCTCTACCCCCTCCGTCCCTTCTGCAACCCTCGTGGCGGCCGAAGCTCCTCTCCGGTCTCACGCCTCGACCCCTCGCCTCCGCTCGCCGAGATCCTCCGTGTCCACCGCCGATCCCAGCGCGGCCTCCGCTCGACCCCTCGCTCGACCCCTCGGCCTTTGCTCGCCGAGAATATTTCATGAAGCTCAGAACCTCAACCTTAACCTGTCCCTGCAGCCTGGGCCTCGTCCCGAGCACGCACGAGTTTTCTCGTGTAACTATTGCAGACAGACTTTTTACAGCACCCAAGCTCTTGGAGGACACCAGAATGCACACAAGCTGGAGCGCAACCTAGCGAAGAGGAGCAGAGAGATGGCTAATGATTGAATTGATCTCGTAATGACACGTGCGAACTTGATGTTGCTTTGTAGCTTCTGAAACTAATGCATCTAGATTTACTAGCAACAGAGTTTCTTCCTGTCACATGTTTTCTTTTTGGGATCTTTTTCTTTTTTTATTTTCCCCCTTCAAAATAAGTTTTCCTGTTCGAAAAAGAATGCCTCTTCTCTCTTGCATCAACGGTATTTTCTTTCTTCACGTTTAATATACATGTACCCAATGATAGTTATCTTTTCTATTTGCAGATAAGGTTACGGTTGTTAAGGTTACGGGTTGTTAAGATTACGGGTTGCTTGTTAAGGTTACGTGTTGCTTGTTAAGGTTACGGTTTGCTTGTTAAGGTTACGCGTTGATTGTGAAGATTAAGCTTAACAACCAACCCGTAACCTTAACAACCAACCCGTAACCTTAACAATCAACGCGTAACATTCACAACCAACGTGTAACCTTAACAAGCAAACCCGTAACATTCACAAGCAACTCGTAAAACCTTCATAAAAATAAAAAAAAGGAAGGAAATAGAAAAAAAAAAGCTTTAATTTTTTGTACTTCTACTATAATAATTCATAACTTCATAAAATAAAAAGCAGTAACAATTCTATACTTTTCTTCAGAAAATTCATGCTTACAGCACCACATAAAACTGTGCAATGTATGATTACTTTCATTTTACCACTCAACACTCATGAGGAGGTGGACTGCCATGGTTTTGAGACCGTTGACAGGGTAGAGGAAGAAGACGATGATGCATACATTTGTTTTAGGTAGTGGGAGTGAGCTAGATTTTGTAATAATATTTCACTTTTAATTTTAATGAAATTTTCAAAAGCCAAACGATTTATGTGTTGGTTGTTAAAGTTACAGGTTGCTTGTTAAGGTTACACGTTGGTTGTTAAGGTTACGTGTTGGTTGTTAAAGTTATACGCGTTGGTTGTTAAGGTTTCGGGTTGCTCGTTAAGGTTTCGGGTTGCTTGTTAATGTTTCGGGTTGCTTGTTAAGGTTACGCGTTGGTTGTTAATGTTACGAATTTTCAAAAGCCAAACGATTTACGTGTTGGTTGTTAAGGTTACAGGTTGCTTGTTAAGGTTACACGTTGGTTGTTAAGATCACGTGTTGGTTGTTAAAGCTATACGCGTTGGTTGTTAAGGTTTCGGGTTGAACATCAAGTTCGCACGTGTCATTACGAGATCAATTCAATCATTAGCCATCTCTCTGCTCTTCTTCGCTAGGTTGCGCTCCAGCTTGTGTGCATTCTGGTGTCCTCCAAGAGCTTGGGTGCTGTAAAAAGTCTGTCTGCAATAGTTACACGAGAAAACTCGTGCGTGCTCGGGACGAGGCCCAGACTGCAGGGACAGGTTAAGGTTGAGGTTCTGAGCTTCATGAAATATTCTCGGCGAGCAAAGGCCGAGGGGTCGAGCAGACGCCGCGCTGGGATCAGCGGTGGACACGGAGGATCTCAGCGAGCAGAGGCGAGGGGTCGAGGCGTGAGACCGGAGAGGAGCTTCGGCCGCCACGAGGGTTGCAGAAGGGACGGAGGGGGCTAGGGCAAAAATGGTGGGGGAAGGAGGAGGGAGAGAGGAGGGATTGTATGGTTATTACGAATATAATATTAGAGAGAGAGAATGGGTATTATAGTCTTTACCTGTGTAAAATTCTTGGGCTTTGTGTTTTGGGGGCTCAGAGCACAGTTATTACGAATTTGGGGGTTTTTAGAGCGTTGAAAAAGTCTTGGGAGGGGGAAGCATATTTGTTACGAATTTGGGGGCTGGAAGCATTTTTCCCTTAATAGAAATAGCTCCACTTATCCAAGTGCCCTGTAAAATGTTAAATGGGCGTTTTCCGTAATTTAAGCGAGCCTCCTTCAGGCCTTGTCAGAAATTATGAAAAGTAAAAGGGGGGTATCAATAATTTTCCCGGGCTCCCTGATCCCAACTTGCGCTTGCGACCCCAAAGACGATAACATCCGTCGCCGGTCAGATTAAGAGGCCTCGTCTTCTCCTCCCTCGTGATCTCCGTCTCACCCCGACACCAAGAGCAAAAAAAAAAGAAAAAGAAAGAAGGGATGCCCTAGTTTCGATCCAATGCCTCTCATTCTCATCTGAATTTAATCGAAAAGCATCCAATTTCAAAGAAAATTGCAGTTGAATCCATGTCAATTGCATTCGCTCAGAGCCTACCGACGATTCCTCGTCCCCAAAATCTCTACTCGTTTCCAGTCCCCAGAAACCGACTGCAGATTCTTACTTTCTCTGATTCCCCTCTTTCAGATGCGCGGAGAGTTCGTGCTCGCTGAGCACCGCTCTTCTCGTCGGATTCGAGGCCTTTTCATCTGGTAACATCCGAATCAAATTCAATCTCTATGTTCAACGAGCTAAAATTGTGATCTTTTTCAAGGTCAAAGCATTGACGGGAGTCAACACAGAGAGGCTTCCAGCGAATTGAGCTTGGACTCGATCCTTTCGATGACCGAGATACTGTTCATTATCCCGCCAGCTGTCTACTCGATTGGGTGTATTGTTGGGTTCTTGATTCCTGGTGCAGTGAAAAGCTTGCAGTCGAGCTCGGGCAACAGGATACTTGTTTGTCAGTTGCTGATGTTGGTGGGCTCGGTGGCGATTGGGAGTTTGATTCGCCGGAGGCAATGGGGGAGGATTTGTAGGAAGGCTGAGACTGGAGTGGGTGTTGATTTGGTTGCGAGGATTGAGAAGGTGGAGGAGGAGCTGAGGAGCTCGGTTACCATTGTTCGGGTCCTCTCGAGGCAGCTCGAGAAGCTTGGAATTAGGTTTAGGGTTACTAGGAAGGCTTTGAAAGAGCCCATTACTGAGGTGATGTTTGCTTTTCTTGCTTCATTCTTGTTAATATTTTGTTTGATGTTCACTCTAACAATGGATTGGCTCTTATCATTCCTAGCAACCCTTGCATTTTTATCTACTAAATAAAAAGCGGAGAAATTTTTAAAACCAACCATTTTTAAAATTTAATAGGCAAAATCGACCTAAACTGAAAAATATTAGCAAAACCGATCCTTTTCAGAAGAAAAGAGTCGGTTTTGCAGCGGAGGGTCTTTTACGAAGTGCACAGGACTGCTAGTCCCGTGCACTTGGTGTTCAGCAACGGCTGCCCTCTCTGCTTAAAAGTCGGGACTGCTAGTCCCGACTTTTAAGCAGAGAGCAGCTGCAATACCAAGTGCACGGGACTAGCAGTCCCGTACACTTGGTGTTCCAGCAGCTGCTCTCTCTGCTTAAAAGTCGGGACTAGCAGTCCCGACATTTAAGCAGAGAGAGCGAACACCAAGTGCACGGGACTAGCAGTCCTGTGCACTTGCTGTGCACATTTTTGTGCACTTTTTTGTGCACTTTTTGTCTGCATTTCAAGTAGTTCCTGTGCATACATCAACACAAACTTCCTCTAACAAGTCACATACTCATTTCACCACTGCATTTCATGTAGTCCCTGTGCATACATCCACACAAACTCCCACTAACAAATTACATACTGATTTCACCACATACTCATTTCAAATCAAACAAATCACATCACACCACAAACTCCCACTAACAAACAAATCCAACATAATAACACCACAAACTCCCACTAATCAAACAAATCAAACATATCACACGATATTATCGACTACAAATCCAAAAACCACATCCCTAAATAGTTTTGTAATGTATATAACCTGTAGTTTACATACATCCAAGAACTCTCCTCCTCCTCCTTTGTCTTCGTCGTCCTCCATACCGCCCTTCGACGAGTTCGTGATCCGGTTGCGTTTGTGGTTGTGACGGTCCAGGTAGGTTTTTTTTTTCTTCGGGGAAGAATGAACGAAAGACAGAACGAAAGAATGACGAAAAGAAAGGGAGCTGGTGGGGTAGGCGGACTGCACGGGACTACTAGTCCCGTGCAGTTCCGTAATTGCAAAAAACGACCCTTTTCGGTCGGTTTTGCTAATTAATTTGTGAGACGGTCGATTTTGCCCAATAAAATTGAAAAAGGGCTGTTTTAAAAATTTCTCCATAAAAAGCTGGTGCTTTCTTCCATGAAGAAACACCTAAATTCTGAATATTTATCAAAAGCCAGTCCATAAAGTTGGTCATTTCAAGGTAAAAGTTTGTTAAAAAATGTTGCCCTATTTCTAGCACCATGCATTTTACTTACGAAATTAACCGACATCGACCTTCTTAGCCCCGATAGACTCTTTACATAATCGAAGTGAATCATGATTGCTCAGTCACTAGCTAGATGATCTTGATCAATCAATAGTGACTTGATTTTTTTCATTTTTATTTTATCTTTATTTTTTGTTGGTGTTATAGTTATGATTGTTGAGGCCCTTGAACATTCGTTGATTTTTTGTAGTGGAGATTGGCAATGGTTGTTGGTAATCAAGTGTCAGTTATAGTCTTATAGATTAACCATGGAGTAGAACAGTATTGGTTACCCTTGGTTCATAAACCCTCCGATCCATGTAATGATGATATCATTTCATTCTCATGTTGTTTGCCTGCTATATATTAATAGTAAATTTCTGACCTCATCACCTCTTATCTTCATTTACTTTTATTTACTTTATGTATTATTCTATAACTTTCTATCTGCAATTTGTCAATCTAGTATCTCTTCCTTATTTTCTTTAACATGTTGTTTTGTAGCAGTTTATCTTCTAGATATCAATTTAGCATTAGAAAGCTAATGCGTAGGCAACCTAGTGATACGACGATGTCGACAACAAGAACAACAACAACAAAAAATCATTTATCCCATGACTTAAGGATTAGTTATATGAATTTATTGCTTCCATTCAGCTATTAGGCCCAACCCTGGTGTTTGGTTTTTGTTTAATTTTTTATCAAACAATCGAGTAAAGAACAAATAAAGATATATGGAGTTCATATGAGCAGCTAGATACATTCTGGAGGTTCATATCAGCTTCTTATTTTCGTTTATCACAGCTTGTCTACAATGTTAGTGACAGTCCAAGTTTTGATAAATATCAGCATCTTCAAAAAAGTTAAAAAAAAGGGTTCATGGACAAGATTATGTTAGTTATACTATCTTAAGTGTGGTCTTTTAGACATCATAGTATTTGCTCAAAAACCTTCCCCATTATTTGGTGTGCATTTTATATATGTTTGCAGAAATCAGCGGAAGTCGACCTTCTCACGTTTAATGGAGTTAGTACATTGATGATTGATGTTCTAGTTGTCTAAGTTGTGTAGACCACTAGCTATTGTATCTATTGTATCATTTTGGGCAATAGTGACCTGTTCACATATTTCACATGTATGATATGATTATGAACGAATGAAGATTGAGGCGCTAGGAACTTTGTTGTATTTTGTAATTGGGTAGAAATTGGAGTTGGTTATCAGTTCTAGATCAAGAGTAATTCCTCTCCTAGATACCTTTTTCTTACACCTTCCAAACCTGTGAGAATGACAATCCATTAACTACAGTTCTTGCCATTGTGCATGCTCTTATACCTCTGACAGAAAAACTTTAAGTGCATTGCCTCCCATGATCATTTAGCCTAACTTATTGTTCTGCAACTTTGTATCTGCAATTTGTCGCTTTAGTCACACCCTTCTCATTTAATTTAACATGTAAACATGCAAGTTGCAACTTTCTTGCAACATATAGTTTAGCATTAGAAAGATAATAGGCGACGAACAACAACAAAAAATACTGTATTCATGTTTTTTGTTGCTTATATTTGAATTTTATTCTCCCATTCAGCTCTGTTATGGCCTTGCGGCTCATCCCTCTATTATTTCTCTTTAGTCTTTACCATGGCTGGATTGTAGTTTAGTGATAATCCTAGTTATGATTTTCTGGATAGGAATTCACGCTTCCTGAAAAGGAAAAAGAAAAAGAAATTTTTTTCAAGGGCAACATATTGCACGCTGAAATATTCAATCATTACGTGTTGAGTTTGTTTTCGTCGTCTTGTTGGCCTTGTTTGATCTTCCTAAACATTATGACCCTTGTATCTCAAGGACAAAAAGTTTTACTTATAAAGAACCCCAAGCATCATCGTTGTCTTAATTTTTTGCTTCAAGCATCATAGATTTGTCTTGATGGTGAAATTGAAGTGTAATTGATCCCTACAGGCTGCGGCTTTGGCGCGGAAGAACTCAGAGGCTACTCGTGCTCTAGCATTGCAAGAAGACATTCTTGAAAAGGAGCTTGGTGAAATTCAGAAGGTCTTATTGGCAATGCAGGTAGGTCTTACATTTGGGCTTTGTTGTAGCGTCTGGAACAGCAGTTTTTTCATGCCTGCTATTTGCTTTGTGTTCTAGTCCAGACTAGTCATGGAGATGGCCTTTTTTGATTTCTAGTAGGAAGCACACCTTAAGAGGATTGGTGAATATTTATCTATATACTAAAGCTATTGGGGTTAGCACTGTAGCTTGACAACATTCATTTCTACATCACACCCCAATAGCTTATTGTTAAAAGAGACAATAGGTAATTTTTGTTTACAAACCCAACGTTCAACCCAATTTGCTTATAAGTCAACCACTTCAAAAATTCATCTCTGGTACATAACGCTCCACGGGTTTGAAACTTTTCTCAACTTCGCAACATTAGTTCAATGTAGTTAGAAGTAATAATAAATTAATAGGATTTTTATCTATAAACCCAATAAGCTAATTCAATTTAATTTTAAGTCCACCCACTTGAAAATTTAATCATAAACCTGAAATACATCAACTCCAATAATATAATATAATAATATAATGATGGACCATATGAAGAGTTTTTTTTGCTATAAAGCCAAAATTCCCTAATTTTTTTTTAAATTCACTCACTTTATAATCAATCTTTTACCTAAAATACTCTAATGAATTACTTTTAAACTTAATTTATATTTCATTAACTTGTTATATCATATGTTGCAACCGTAGATTGATTATTTAGCTCCCACCCATTGCAAGGATTTTTTTAGTTATAAATCCAAAGTATTGGATATATTTATTTTTAAACTACACACCTCGAAAATCGCTCTTAGAGTCAACAAACTATAGTAACCTATTTTTAAGCCCAATTTGTCACAGTTTGTATGTATGGTTTAAGTTGTTATATTCCACTTTGGCTTACTCTAGTTCTTTTCTAATAATCTAGGTGTACAGTATTTTAGACCAAATGCTTAAGCATTACTTTAGGCTGTTTTCCATGTTGTTGCAATGCCGTAAATGGTAGATCAGTTTTTTCCTATAAGTTCAAGGATTTATGCTCATTTATTTTTAAGTTCATCCACTGTGCAAAGATTTTTTCTAAATCAAAAGTATTCTGGCAGTTTTATATACATGTAAGTTGTTATATTTTATTTTACATGTGAAGTTTTATTCTAAGTTGTTAGGTAGAGTAGAGATTCTTCAAAACACCCTATCTAATAGGGTAATCTATACCACTCATGGGTGGTTAAATGATTAGTTTATAAATTATGGTTATTCTATTAATGGTGTAAACCACCCCACTTAGGGTGGTTTTTGTAGAAATCCTACTGTTTTGATACACCATATATATTATAAATAAAATACTTAACCGTGTTGTATTAAGGCAGCCATCAAAAATGTTTTCTTGTGTATAAACTCAAAATTTTAGCCTATTGCCTTTTGAACTTACTCTCTTCCTAAAAGGAGTTTTTATGTATACGCCTAAAATCTTATCTTCATTTATTATTAAAGTCAATCACCTCCAAGATCACTCTTGAGATCCAAAATACTCATCCGAACAAATCTTAAACTCACTTTACATTTTCACCACTCATCATATGTGAGTATATTTTGTTAAAACGTTGTATATTTTCGTTCTAAATCCAAAGTCATACTATTTAGTTTTAAACTCGTATATTTTCGTTCTAAATCCAAAGGTACTCTTAAACACAAAATACTCAACATTTTATTTAAATCTATTTTGATTTGATATACATTGTGAGTCATTATATTTTTGTTTAAAGTGGTCATCTACGGTGTATTTTTTAACTAACTATTTAATCCATAAAGTTTTTTATTTGGTTTTTTTGGCTCTAAGCCCAAAGTTCCCCTCTATTTTTTGACCCCACTCATATTCATAGTAATTTTTCCTAAATGGTTAGGTGTACTATGTGATAAGATGACTTAACCATTATTTTTTAGCTTTTTCCATGTTAATCTCGCAACATAGTGAACTGTAGATGTGTGTGTGTGTGTGTGTTGCTTCATTTATTTTTAAACTCACTCACTTTATAAAATGAATTTTTATCTCCAAACCGAAAGTTTTACCTTCATTTACTTTTAGACCCACACACTTTCTAGATCACCTTGGTTCTAACATACTTGCAAGAAAATTTTTAACTATTGTATGTTAGTAGTTTTGTATCATTGTAAGATGATATATTTTGCTTTAACTTGCTATTTTATTCAAAGTATTAGGTGTACAATATACTTTTAGGTCAAATACTTAAACTATATTTTTTTATTGTTTACGCGCAAATTCAGCGGCAACGCACGGTCAATTTTGCTCGTTATTCTTTATAAAGCATAGCAAATGCTCAATTTTCTGGGTCAATCTATTTTTAGTTTGTACCTCGAGTGTTATAATGTCATCCTTTTGAGCCATCTTCTTTTCCTTGCGTGAATGCAACTGAGCAGGCATACAATCTAAACAAATGCCTAGTTGCTTCTATCATAATATCAGGAGATATTTTAGCTGTGAGACATGATCACCTGGACACAGTTGAACAATATATGATTCTATGTCAAAAACTCAACAGTTAGTTTAGTATCATCATTTCCCACATCATTCCTAGCAAGTTCTTTTCCCATAATAATTTGTTGATGATGGAACACACTAAACGGAAGATAACAATATGTGACATTCTAAAACTTGTGTCAAGTTCTTGTGCAAGGAAAACGTGGACAAGAGAGGAGCTTCCATAATCCTAGACTAGAAGTGATTTGGTGGTTAGAGAAAATGTACCTAGTAAGTTTTGCACTTTATATGTTGAACCTAGGCACTGACTTCTAAAATTCTCCTGGACCAAGAAACAGTTAGAAGAAGGTGAAACCGTGACAGTTAATAGATAAACTGGGAAAACCGATTGTGAGTTTATGTAACTTTAATTTACTTAAATAGTGGAAATTTTATATTATTAAAAATAATATCATTGCAATTTGACTACATTTTGATTATTGTTGCTGATCAATTTCTCAAAAATGTTTATTTGTTGGATGCTGTCAAGTCCTACTATTTTCCGTTTAAATTGGTCAAGCCTCGTGAATGTAGTGGAAAGACTTTCATATGATGTGGTTCACTTAGAGCCTTGTTGACTAAAGCAATTTTAGAAATTGTGCATGATTAATCGCTAAGGAACACACATTCGACACTCTAGATTGGAATCATAATTGGATCCTAATCTAGACAAATGTCAACAACCATTCTTTGTGAACTTTTGCAAAAAAAGAAAGAAAAAACAAATGCGAAGTACTTACTAAAACTTATAGTACATCTGTGTTGAAGTCCAGTTATCTTTATACAAAGGGTTTAAGAAAAATATAAAATACTTTTTACCTACATACACAAAAGGGGAATTTTCTCTCTCTGTATTTCAAGCTATTTTGATGGAATTATAAAGACTAAAACTCAATTTAATGACTTAGAAAGTGATTCTGACTGATATAAGATCATAAGACAAATTTGACCTGATGTAAGATTATGATGCGCTCCTAATACTGATAGATGAGAACCTGATTGAATACATTGGTGATGAGTTCATAATCTCCATTATCATTCATTTTGCGCGCTTCCAAGTTCCAAAAAAGTAAGTACCCGGCAGCTAGATGGACAATTGGATACAACTTACATCCTAACTTGATCTCTTTTGTCTTAGTGGTTCCATGAGACATGTTTTCTATGTCTAATGGTACATTCAATTTCATTTTCTAGTCCTGTGAGCTTGCTAAACAAGTACAGTTGTCCTGCATCAGTTCAATATGAAAAATAGAACATTTTGTCCGTTATTGGCCTTCGGTGAATTTTCCCCTTCAATTTAAGTTCTTCGACATGCTGTTCATAGTCGTCTACATTTGTTGATTTTTGTATTCTTATATGTAGTTGAAAGGATAGTGGTCATCCTTTTTCTTTCTTTCTTTTTTTAAAGAAAAAGATAATCATCTTTGACTGCTGAGGGCTGATCACATTATTAAGAGGTAATTCAAGATGGAGTTTTGCACTGGTTTCTAATTATGCGGCATTCACTGTCAGAATAGGTCCAAGTTCAACTGTACAAAACATTTACATTTAACCTGTGCTGGGTAGAAGAAAGGTTGTAGGTTGAGCACTGAGAGCTTGTATTGTCTATTATCCTGTAAGACGAAAATAATTCTTGGTTTCGAGCGTGTATGCACTTCAATCTTCAATCTTTGGTCGATCAGCATCCTCACTAACGTCAACTATGCTCTACCAAACAACAAGGGATTAGCATAACTCAAAGTAAGAGACAGCTCGATGAAATAGTTGACTGAGTTAGTAATAACTGGTTGCTAACCTGAAATCAGCCTTCGGTGTAAATTGAGAGCCAAGGTGAAAACTGGGGCTGTTTAGTTGTTAGGAATGGAGTTATATCAGCTTTGGCTGCATAGGAGGATCATTTCCTTTATTTATTTCTGACCAACCAAATCATGAACAAGTCTACATATCACAAAAGGTAGCATGTTCAGCAAATATTGCAGCATTTTTAGCAACTAATTCCTCGTTAACAAGGGCATCATCCATAAATGAAAAGCAAACCCCTCATCATTTTTCAACTTTTGCCTTCAATTTCCCTAATTGTTTCATAACTAGATGGTAATATTTTGCCTTTAAAATCTTCTTTTCAGTTGGCTCTGGCAGTGGGTATTTAAGTTGACAATCTTTGATTAGCTTTTGTATTTGTATTGTATCCATGCTTGGGTATCTCTGCAGGAACAACAGCAGAAGCAGCTGGAGTTGATCCTTGCAATTGGGAAAGCAGGCAGACTGTTTGAAAGCAAGCGGGATACTTCTTCTACAGCAGAGCAAGGTACAGTTAACAGCCATAATCCTCCAATTATTGATAAGAAAACGAGCAAGCAACTGGAAATCCAAACGGGAACCTAGGCAGAGCCAATGACGACGATAGACGATAGATCTTTGAGATGCTCTCGATCTTCACTCTTAATTTAAAAGGTCCCCATCTCAGCCATTTAGATACGGGGTTGGATTCGGTATGGTACATTATGGAGATGTCGCAGAGAGTACTTATACGTGGATGCTTAGTCTGCAAATATAATCTTTGGAGAGATTTAATGGAGGCGGTGTAGCTGTTAAGGAGCCTTGATTACTTGGTTCTACCTGTAATGAACTATCCAATATAGAGGTAAAAGGGCATGATTTCTCTACGAGGCAGTTTTCTGCCTTTTTATCTAAAGATGTCAGTTCTATTTGCCAGCGATTCGTTCCAGAGTTGGAAGTAAGCTAAGGAAACAAACATGTGTAAGGAATGAACACTTGAAGAGAGTTTATTTCCTGTTCTCTGTTGATTAGTTTGCTTGTCAAGTTTTCTGTGCAAGTAATATTGTTTTCAGGAGACTGCAGGAATGATGATGGTCTCCTTTCTGAAATTGGTGAAATCGTTTTTCTCAAGAGGTTCTGAAATTGGGCTGAGGGTGAATGTTGCGGAAGTAATTGCTTTTTGTGGTTAACTTACATTTTTCAAAATTTTTGCTCCCTTAACTAGTGGGAAATTCGAGGGGAAATTTTTTTTATGCGCAAACCATGTTATGATCTATTAATTACTAATCGTTCACATCTACCAGATGAACGATTCCAAATACCTAATAATGTGAATTAACCGAGTCACGTCGTTGGATGCAAATGACGCAACACATTTCTTGAGGGCAACGCATTTAATGAAATTATGGAAGGGAGGCACTAGAGGTACACCCTTGGGCACATTCTCAGCCACACCCCCTCACCTGCTACAGTACAGAGGGTCCCATATGGGATTTTTTAAAAAAATCCCATGTGGGGCTTTCTGCACTGTAGCAAGTGAGGGGGTGTGGCTGAGAGTGTGCCCAAGGGTGTGCCTCTAGTGTTTTTCATTATGGAATCTTCTAGGCCATGAGATTCTCAGAAGAAAATGACGAATGGTTTAATTACAAATTGCTAGGATTTTCACAATTTTTACATATTGAAAATTTGCGAAGATTTTTCATTTGACTAGTTAAATTTTGTCCAAACAAGGTACTTAGGGTAGCCATGACTTGGTCGTTGGCCAAACTTGGTCAAAATGATAAGCAGATAGTGCGACCTAAAATTCGTCACCTACTCCCGCACCTACTGATTTCAGGAAAAAAGAATCCACAGAGTTCTTTCTGTAGGATGCGGTGAGCTAAAAAAAAAGAGGGTGGCACCTGACCTATCACAACGATCACTATTATTATCTACTACGACCGTCAATATCCGACAGTAGATGTCTACATTTATAGGAGTAAGAATTCTATCAGCACCCCGCGTGTGCAAGGTTCTAAGTAGGGGTGTCCAAAAAGCCTATCGGCCCGGACCGGGACCCGGTCGTCGACGCAGAGCAGGCATCCGATTCTTCGCCTTCCGAAGGAAGTCTTGTCCGAATTCTACCATAAGTCCCTCGCTTGATGGCTCCGGACTGTAGACGGGTTACACACCGGGACGCTTCCAGAAACGACTTGAGATCAACCTGTGTCGATGTCTCTTTGCTGGTCATGTTGGCGGTGACCCTTGGAAATTCTCCGTCTTTAGCCACCGTTCTTCTTTGTCGGAAACGCCTATGCCTTGGTTTTGGCGTTTCGGTATTAAGCCTTTCGAACACTGAGATTCTCTCTGGGACTACCTTGATGCAGTTGCACTCAGACAGTACCGCCCGAATGAGCTTCGAACAAGGGCATCGAGTTCCTAGCCTTCGAAGACTCCCCTTTCTGGCTTTGCTCGTACCCCCAGCACGATAGTACAGCTCGTCCGTTTGAAAGTCAGAGCAACCTATCGTGTGTTGGCACGATTTCTCAGGTATAACGTAATCATCATCAGATGATAACGTTTCCTTCTGAGGGAGAATTGCCTTCCTTGGACTTTCAAGAGTCACGCGCCTTGAGACATGCCTTTTTGGGCGTGAATTCTCAGCGGGCTCCTGAACTTCAATGCGCAAAGTAGTGCGCTTGGGGCGACCCCCAGCATGTTGCGTTGTTTGGGGCTTTCGTAGTGGGTCCAAACGTTCTTGCTGGTCTTCTTCATCGGGCCCAAACGCTCTTGAACTGGAGCCTTGCCTCTCTCGTCGGGAATTGGACCGAGGCGCTCCAAGACTGGCTTTCTCCTTCGGGAGGACTCTGCATGATCTCCAGGAGTAGTTGTGGAAATCATCGGCGGTCTGGACTGATTCGCCGGAGGTTGCACTTTCCACGGTCGCAGTTGCTGCTTTTTGGTCTGAACTGCCGCTTCAAACTTCGGCCTCCAAACTTTGCGAGTTGGTGGCGGATTCTTAGCTACCTCTTTCTGCAGCTTTCTACGGGCTTCTTCAGCTTGAGCCCGTGCCTGCGCTGATAGTGCGCGGCGTTTACGGATGCGTTCTTCCAGCGTCGAACGATTCCGTTTGACACGGACCCATTCCATTTTCTACGGGCTTCTTCAGCTTGAACCCGTGCCTGCGCTGATAGTGCGCGGCGCTTGCGAATGCGCTCCTCCAGCGTCGATCGGTTCCGTTTGACACGGATCCATTCCATTATTGGCGGCTTGGAAGAGTCGCCATTCATCAGCCGTTGAGGCTGTTTGCCTCTCCCGTTCTTCAGATCCGCGTTGTAGCGGATTCCGTCGGTGGACTCCATCGCTTTGGCGAATTGTTTGGCCAAGCGTTGGCGTTGCCTTTGGCGGGCTCTCTTTGAGAGAGTCACCGCTCCTTTGGTGACGGAGGAATTGGTTGGAACCAGCTTGATCTGGTTGGAGGTTGGTGGAGCCTCACCTGACGCAACTTTGGCGTCAATCGAGATGAGGTCGTCGTTGGTAGCTTCAACTTCTTCGTACCAACGCACCTTTCTGTTGGAAGAGAACTTGGACTTCTTGGACTTGCGGGGGGAGGTCGATCTAGACGAGGATGAAAGGTACTCCTCGAACTTGGTCTGATCGAACTCGTATTCGACCTCCTCCACGACTGGGATCTGAATCCGCGGCTGCGACGCTCCAATCTCGGCAGCGAGATCGGTGGCTCCCACTGTGGTCGCCAGATTGTTCGCTGGAAAATTCGTTGCTTTCTTTGTTATTGATTCCATTGTCATCTTGAGTTACAACTTTTTGAGTTACAAAAGATCCGGTCTTTTTATAAGATCCGGTTACAACGAAAATCAAATAAAAAGAAATGAAAAATTACAACTTTGTTTCCTTGTTTGTCGAACGAATCGCGAGCTCCTGTTTTGCGGTCGCTCGCTTTGTGGGTTCTTTGCCTGCGCCGGGGTTGTTTGCCGTGGACCACCGCGAGATCTAGATCCGGTCGGATCTACGCAGTACGACGGGTATTATTCCACGAAGGAAATAATAGCCGGGAGGGATTGATTCACCAAGGAAACAATCGCTCAAGTCTCGGGATCTAAGACCAAGCTTAGATCCGGAGTATGCCTGCGTAGATCTGAGATCTGATCCTCTCGAACACCTGCCTTATTTGACGTTGATGATCGCCGAGCACCAGATCTGAAGGAGTGAGTCCCCGAAGTCCCAAAGTTTCAATCTTTTTTAAGTTCCGAGTCTCCAATCCAGCAGGGCTTCGCCTCTCTCCAAAATTTCCAACCTTTTGAAATGAAGAACCCCTTGGCCTATTTATAGGCTCTCGTCACTGTGCCCGTGCCCGTGTGCACGTGTGGCCAGCTCAAGGTGGCCGGCCACCTCAAGGTGGCTCGGCTCATGCCGAGCCACCCTGAGGTGGCTCGGCCACCCCAGGGGGTGGCTCGGCCTTGGCCGAGCCACCTTGAGGTGGCTCGGCTTGGGCCGAGCCACCTGAAGTTGGCTCGGCTTCGGCCGAACCCCTCTAGGTGGTGGTTTTTCGGTGTTTTCCGCCTTTGGTTCTGTCCATGATTCGGTTGATCCAGACTCTGATTTGTATATATAATTTATATTTTTATATATATGTTTATGTATAATACAATTTGTTTATGTAATTTCTATAAGTACTTACAATTTGTTTATGTATAATATATGAATTATATATATATATATATATATATATATATATATATATATATATATATATATAATTTATATTTTTATATATATGTTTATGTATAATACAATTTGTTTATGTAATTTCTATAAGTACTTACAATTTGTTTATGTATAATATATGAATGACATGATTATTAATTAAAAATTTATTTTTATCATCTTTTATTTTTATAATTTTTATACTTGTAATTTATGTCATTTTAATTAATTAAAAAAATTTATGTCATTTTTTATAATTTTTATGTATATTTTATGCTTTATTGTTTTTTTAAATTTAAAAAAATAAAAATACAAAAAACCCGGCCAGGTCCGGGCCCGGACCCGGCCCGGGGTACCCGGGTCCGGAGCTCCGGTTTTGCCCGGTCCGGGCCCGGATTTCCGGGCCGGGCCGGGCCGGATGGACAGATCTAGTTCTAAGCGATATATAGAAGCAATAAAATATCCAAATTGCCTCCTGTTTAAAAATCAATGGCTCAGAGTGCTTGCATCATGCGATGCGTAGTGATAGGATCAGAACTCCAACATTAATGTCACGTCTTCACACCGCGGAAGCGATATAACTCGAGAGAGAGCCCTGACTTTTATTTTCACAAAAGCTCAAGCTAACCTTTATATTCCTGTTTCACAAAGGAAACAAGAATAGAAGTGAAATATCTCAACAAAGTAAGATATACACTCTTCCTCTCATCAGTTCTAAGATTGAATTATCGAGGGAACCTACAAGCAATAGTTAACACCCAAACAATACTAAAGAAACGAGATTTACGTGGTTCGACAAACTTGCCTACGTTCACGGGAGGGGTGAGGGGAGATTTCACTATGAGGAGAACACCGATGACTTGTACAATCCACAAGCTCGTCTCAAAAGAAGAAGATTTGATTTTTACCCAAAAAATGACCTCTCTCTTGTAAAATCTCTCCAAGCTCTCTCCTCAAGATCTCTCTTTTCTAGCCGCCAAAAATTCTTGTTTTCTTCTCTGCAGCCGAAAAACAAAACCCTCTGTCGTTTTTTATCAAAACCCGTGTAGTTCAAAAAACCCTAGCTTTGGGTATTTATAGGAGAGTATGAAATTTCTTGGGTGTGCCGCACCCGCACCTGGGCTTGCCGCTTGCTGCACTGTGCTCGTGGGTGTGGCCTCCACGTTCACAATTCTCCACCTCGTACATCATTTGATAAACCTTAAATTTTAGACAAACACCATAAGAACACCTCGAACATCACCAGAGACAGATCTGAAACACCAAATCAGGCCAAACCAGGTCAAACCAGCTACGCTACTTTACCGTGGCTACCTACGTACCCTCCACAGGGATCAAGCTAACCGTAGTTCAGGATTTGTTCTCCATATAGTCTCCACCTCACCCCATCACCGCCCCGCAGGGCCATGCCCTCTTGGTCAGATCAA